CTGCTGGGGTTCTGTGGGATTCTGCTGCTTGGGCACCTCATGGATTCCCGTGAGCTTGTCTTGCTTCGGTTGTGGGAGTTCTGCGGGCTTGTCTTGGGTCCGGTGCTGCTGAAGTTCTGCAGGCTTTTCTTGCATCAGCTCTTCTGGGAGTTCTGCTACCTGGGTGTCTTCAGCAGTTTGTGTGGGCTCAACTGCAGGGGATCGATCGTGGAACGGCTCCTCCAATGGCTGTGCATCCTGTGAACACTGAGAATAGCTGAGCTGCCGCTGTGTGGCAGGAAATGCCATCTTCAGGGATAAAAGGATCTTATTAAACAGGGAAACTCTGTAGGAAAATAGTCCAGGATAAAACTTAATAAACTGGTTATTGTTTCAGCCCTACATAGCCCATCTCATAGGCCTGCGCCTCTTGGTCCTCGTCGTCGTCCTCGACGGGGATGGAGCCTCCATTCAGACCCTGGGCCATCAACTCCTGGAAGATGTCCTGTAGGCGGTTCGACGGATAGATTAGTTGAAGTATAGAGGGTGTTTGGGGGCTGCACGGCCTATATATGGGCTTCTGGGTTTTACCCTGCAGGGGAACACGATATAAGAGACATCTGGGCTTACTTTAGGTTGCAGCTCTGGGTCTTAAATAGGAAGCTGGGCTTTAGGGTTTGTCGACTTTATATAGAGGATCTATGTAATAAAGGGTTCATTTGTATAGAGCTTAGATATTATCAGGGTTTTGGGTTTAAGGGGTTTAGGGTTTAAATTTTACAGCACTGTCTTTCGGTGTTCAGCAATTTAAGATGCCCACCTGGATTTCAGCTTGCATTTCAGCTTCGTCATCATCCGTCGGTTCCTCTTTCACCCCCAGGAGGTTAGCCAGAGGCTGGTTCGCAAGGTCCATCCCACGTTGTAGGGTCTTGGAAGACAACGAACCGGTTCCGAGACGATCCATGCCCCGATATCTGTACCACAAAAACCGTCTTGCAGCCAAAATGAATGTATATCCTGGCAAATGAGGTTTTGGTGCACCCTGCAAAGAGCACTTGCAACGACTTCTGCACTCGCGGCTCAGCTTCCAACTAAAACTTCGGAAGCCCTATACGACCAATTGGTGTCTATAGGATACAGGTTCAGGGTGTCGCAATGATATTCCGTCTAAATAAATAAAAGACAGCACATATCGCTAAACCTTGGTGGAGCATGGGTATAGGGTTCAAGGTGGATCGGGTTAGGCTTTCAGGTCGGATTTGGGCTGCGATTTCGGCTGTGGCAAGAGCGCGGTTTCAGGCTTTCCGGCCGGATTTGGGCCGATTTGGGCTGTAGCAGGAGCACGGTTTCAGGCATTCCGGTCGGATTTGGGCTTCGATTTGGGCTGTGGCAGGAGCACGGTTTCAGGCGTTCCGGTCGGATTTGGGCCGCGATTTGGGCTGTGGCAGGAGCACACAGAACCCGGATTCCGCTGATTTCCCTTCTCTTCCCATCGGATTGGGGCCGCGATTTGGGCTGTGGCAGGAGCACCCAGGAATCCTGTGATTTCGGATACGGTTTCAGGTCGGATTTCGGCCACCGATGAAACCTTTATATTATGGGTCTGGGTAGGTGGGTCAAGGTCTGAATCCAGCTCCTATGTTTTGGGAATTGATTCCCATATTGGCTTGCAGGCATGATGTCACAGAATGCACATGCACCCTTTAAGTCACCATTTCGATCCGGCACGAATTGCTGTCTTCGTAGGCAGGACTGACTTGTGCGTCATAGGGCGAGATTATAAATTGTTTGCAGTATGCAGCGCCCCGACTGAAACCAGTTGCAGTGCAGCCTGCAAGTTGCAGCCTGAGGTATTTGGGACCTATATCGCACACTGTTCGAAACAGAAGCCCGTATGAGCTATATGCATAGTATAGACTTTAGCACTTAGGGTTTAGGGTTTTGGGTTTATATGCTTCAGCCCTATAGACTAAACCTTCCAAAATCCTGAGGCCTCGAACCCTATGCATAGCACGTATAGAGCACAGCCAGAAGCCGAAACCCATGAACCCATAACCCAATGGCACTATAGATCCTAAACCCTCGTACATTCATCCACAGGAAACACGATCCTCAGACGCCCCTCGACGATTAGAGAAATATCAGCAGCCCGATTTCGTCACACAACACCCTGCAGTAACTCTTTCCAGGCTTAGAAACCCTCGGTTTAAGGTTTAGGGATTTATGGGTTTGAGGTTTTGGGGTCTAGCAAATGAAGGACTATAGGGCACCGGCTCTTGCCGGAATCTAGCCCCAAACCCTAAGCCCTAAAAACCCCCAAACCCCAACCCTAAAACCTAGACCCTCAACCCTAAACCCTAAACCCCAAACCCTAAACCCTAAGCCCTAAAACCTAGACCCTAAACCCTATCAGAAAC